CCCTCCTTCCCCTACCCACTTTGATGCATTTTTCAAATTTCGCCTTGGGGCGGAGTTATCTTTTCACAGGGGGGTAAGGTACACTTTGAGCCACTTCAATAGTTTCAATAGTGACTTTTTTTTAAAGAGAAGAAGAAAAAGAAAGAGAAGAAACAGGAGAAATGTAATGGGGAAGATTGAAAGAGATTGTAAAGAGAAGTAAAGTAACAAAGTATTTGTACTTAGTTACTTGACATCTCTGGATATTATGGTAATAAACTCCTGTGCAGAATTAATATTTCCAGTCTCAGAATGGATGGCTGCACTGGTTGCGCAAAACAGCAGCTTTGCATACATGCGCGCGCGCGCGCGCGCACACACACACACACACACACACACACACACACACACACACACACACACACACACTCGTTCCTCCTATTTTTACTTGGGATTTTTTTCTCACTCACATTATATTTGATTCATTATTCTACTAAATCTAAAATCATTTCTCAGGGGAGGTGTCTCACTTGCGCTCAGTTCCATGTTAAGTGGGATATATAAAAGAAATGTGCGTGGATTCCGGCGTACGCACGGTTTGATACATCTGGATTTTTTTGTGCGCAGTTTTCTGGATTTGACCGTACGTCATGTTTCAGTAAGAAATCCACGCAAGTCTTTGCACATGAGGCCCCTGGTTTTTCCTGCAATGGATTTTTTCTTCCCTGCTGGCATGGGCCAAGATGACAAAGCGTGGTTCAGGGAACATGAGACAATTTTCACACATGGGTTGGCTGCACAGAGTCCAGACCCCATGAAGAATCTTCAGAATATGCTGGAAAAGGTCAGACTCGACCATCATCAATGCAAGATCTTTGTGAAAAATTAATGCAACACTGGATGGAAATAAACCTTGTGACATTGCAGAGGTTTATCGAAACAATGCCACAGCAAAAGTGCCATAAGCAAAGCTAAAGACGGTCCAATGAAATATTTGTGTGACTTTTTTTTGGCCGGCAGTGTATATTGTTTCTTTTCTCTATCATTGTAAAACACAGGACCCCTGTGGCTGTAATTTTTAAATACTATTAGAAACTTGTGAAACTWCAAGTATGACCAATAAATATTTATTTTACTGTTCCATCTTTAAAATAATCCATTTGCTTTACAAATTCATAGTAGCTACTACTACTACCAGGGAAGTCGGTTTTATACGTTAAAATGTTCTTGTTTACTTCTGCCTGTGCTAGTACAGGTTTAGGCTAACTCAAGCATACTACCAGCTACCACAAAAGAGACTGGTTTATAACCACATCGGAAAATAATTAAATGTATTATGGTTTGTTGAGTTGATCAGATCACATAAAAAGGATTTATTTGTCTTGAATTCAAGCATGCAGTCTTCACAGAGCTTCAAACATGAAAGCTAAAGTCACCACATTAGACATAGCAGTCACACTGACACTCTGCCACAAGCACACAAAGAAGCGCTCGTATTCACTCTGTTCTTAGGACCCAATAACTGTTTATTCTTTGCACATACAAGGAATAGAATTGGGATTCATCACAACACCAAAATAATATTAAATCACAAATACTAATAAGTTACACTAACACTTCATTTTTTTCTACCTTGTCCACTCTTACGGAATAAATGGTATGTTGCAGCAGGAATATCTGAAATGTGAACAACAGTGACAGTTACACAAACAAAGATTAGTAGTCTAGCACATCATGAGTGTGTTTACAATGATTTTAACAGCCGTGACTCTTGTATTTAACCCGACTTGAGCAAGCCCTTATCGAGCTGTAAAAACATTTCATCCTTCAGTAAGAACGATGCCTTTCATTAGAGAACGATGATAAAATGCCTCTGTTGTAGCGCTCATATAAAAAGTGCAGACATTAACTAGTATATGGTGCAAAATTCTTATAACTTCTGGGATTAAAAGTGGCTTCAGCAATATAAACACAGTTATATATTTGCCTCCATATAAAAATAAAATTAGCAGTACACAAATATTGCACACCTAAGGAGTTTGAATTTTTCAGATTATTGATAAGCTATCAATAAAATGTACAAACAGGGAAATAATAAACATTCTGGCAGTATAAATAAATATTTGGATCGTCAGTTTTTGTTCTATGCAGCATGGTTATGGCTGGGGCAGAGGGGGAGTCACGGCTGCCAAGGTGAAATGGATTAGGGCTGTGTGGTGGGTGAAGGTCACGCTGGAGCAGCAGGTAGTTGTTGCGAGCCCCTCAGTGATGCTGGGCATCCTGTTCCCTCTGGCGACAGCCCACAGCAGTGATGAGAGCWGCTCCCTTTCCACTGCCGTCCTCAGACAGCAGGAAGTTCACGTCACATTTGGGAGCTAGTTCTTTCACTGTCTGCAGGAAGACCCGAGAGAAGCTGCAAGAGGAAAACAAAAAGAAACTGTGTTTACCAGGTAGTGCACTWCCCAAATCTGAGATTTAAAGAATGTAATTTTCAATATAGACAACAAGCATGTCTGTGGTTTAGGTTTGACAACAGACAATCACAAAGACTTTGTCTGAACAACTGAGTACACTGCAAAACATGTCCACCTAACCAAGTTTTAAAACCTTATATCAGCCAAAAAGTCTTTTTGATC